GGCTTTAGAAATATTTATCAGCAGGTGTAAGGAGTCTTTCTGCTACATCTTATATGTGTGCTCCAGAAAGACAGCACACTTCTTTTTGATAGCCAACATCTTACTGCTTCAGTCCCCCTCACTTCTTCCTAAAGAACAGGATCCTTTTGCAGAGCCCAAAGAGTCCTCCTCCTTAACCACTGAGGCTTGTGTCAGCTGCTCTTCATTGAGGGGTCCAGAAATATTTTCAATAGTGAAGTCGTGGAACTGCTTATGAAGCTTCAGAGTATAAGAGCCCTTCTTGACAGATTGAGCCTTTGTGTCATATTCCCCCACATGTCACTTGGCTTTGCTCTTGCCCTTTCAGCATGTCATCAGTCCAGGGATGGGGGAATATCAGGATATTAAAGATGCAGTAGGATGGATCAGACTTCAGAACTCTGTGTGTCTTCTCTAGGTTCATTTGTCTGCTCCTCTTCTTACACTCCATTTGGGCATCTCCCAAGTTTAAAAATGTGAAATAAAGAAAGACATGGGAAGATCCCAGAGCAGAAATATCCCCAGAAAGGAAAGAGTTGGATGCCACCATGATTGTGCAACTAGCTGAAGTCTTGTTGAGCATATCAACTACCTCTCTTACTTCAGGGCATCAATAATTGAAACTGTCAAATACAAAAAACCCTAACATTTAAGCAAGAAAAATCCATTTAAATATCACTCATTATTTTCTGCATGCTGCAATGAGTAAAACAGGGCTGCTGCCTCCAAAGGTGTCCACTGATACAATTCCAGAACATTGTAGAAGAGCACTGGTACAATGAAAATATTTTCCCCAAACAAAATAATGGCGGTCTGGTAATTTCAGAGTACTATTGAAGTGGAATTGTGCAAGTGTGTCCCTTCTTGTTCTTCCCCTAATACAACAGTAGAATTCTGCTCTCCTCTCTTCTACCATGTTAACAATCTGGAGAGAAATTGGTTTCAAAAATCTCTCGAAAAGTGGGACCTCAGAGAAACTCCTTTATGACCTGTACTCACATGACTGTCGCAAACCATTGCACCCCCCCCGCTGTCATGTGATTGTGATTTGCAACCTTTTTTACAATGGCCATTAAGTGAATCATGTAGTTGTTAAGCAAATTCTGGCAAAAACATCCATTGGGGAAGCTGGATTCACTTAACAACCATGTAATTCACTTGACCATATGATTCCCTTAACAACCATTGTAAAAATGATCATAAAATTGGGTCTGGTCACGTGGTGACTAACTTAATGACTGCCTTGCTTACTGACCAATTTTTCCGGTCTCTATTGTGGCTACCTATATAGATTTTACATACCTGGAAGCTATGGGCATGTCTCCATTTACACCCTCATGCCTACTTTACCCTCTGCCCCTATGACATTGTTTTCCTCTAATCCCCAGCTCATTTGTGAAACAGTCTTAAGTGATTATTATAGGTACCAATACTAAAGTGATATTTCCCCACTTTCTGACACTGTCCCAAGGATAGACTCAGGAAGTATAAAACTGTCTGGCTCGGTCACTCATTTCCTTGGGGAGAAGTCAAATGGTGATTGGGAACACAGGCAATAAAGACAGAATCAGCAGTGGAACAGCAAATTTCATGCTGATGTTGGTTGCTGTCAGTTCAAAGGCAGGTTGAGAACACTTTAATCAGTAGTAGGGAAAGGCCCATAGTGGGAAAGTCTTGGCTTAAGGGGGAAAATACTGCTTTAATACTAGTATGTTTAGGGCCTTTTCACACTACCCTGTTAGGGTACTATCCATCATCACTTGACTTCTTTCCAAGGATAGCAAGATTTTACACACTGAGAAGATGTTCTTGGACAGGGTTGAAATATGGGGGGAAATGAATAGTATTTTGACATTTGTGCAGCTAAGGCCATCTCATTCACGAGTTGGGGATGAGATGAAGGCAATGTCTTAGGAACATAGCAGAAAAAAGATATGGTTGGGGCATATTTGTGCCATGATTATGCACAACGGATGTGGCTTTAATGACAACATAAGATTGGAGATGAAATGAAGATAATATGTGACCAAAGGGGTTGCCAGAGCATGATGAGGTGTGCTAAACTGCAAATGAGGACAAAGCATAGATCTTAACTACAACAATACAATAGAACTATCTGTCCATTCCTCCCCTTTGTCACACCCATTATGCAACTCTCTCTTCTAAGATGGAACAGAAAAGATTTCTTAGGTTTTCAGATACTGCTTGTACAACTATTGAGTGTATCTTTTCAGAAACTGAAATAAAATGTTTGTAGTTTCTGTTGAGTATTCCAACTTCAGTCTCACAGAATATGATTTGAAGGTCCTACTGTTAGGTAAATCAGCTAAAGCCCATCATGTTTTTCCTCCAACAAGATAAGTTAACTTTTTCTCTTTACTATACTATAAATAGGTTTGCTCTAACACTAAATTGCCCAGCCCTGAGAAATGCTCATAATTTTTTCCACCTCTTAATCAGAAAAATCAAGATTAGGCTATTGGAATTAGATTTTTCTTTAGGTTTTGAATTCTGCTGGGTTATGTTCAATAGTTGTCACTGATGGTGAGCTATATCTTAAGTAATTTGATTTTTTTTCTTTCAAAACTTTCTTTGCAATCCGAAGTGTTTTTTCTGCCCTACTATTTGTTTAAGGATACTGAACAATAACACAATGAACATTATAGAAAACTGGAATGAATGGAACTCTGTTGCTGTAAATTGGATTGAACTGTTGATTACCAGGCATGCTACTGAAAATAAATACATTTCTGAATTGTGCAATAGCTGTATGAAAATAACTTCAAGCAGAAAGAACATAGAATAGGCACATTGTCCTCCCAATTAACACAGATTAACTGCTAATGTGTTTCAAGTTCTCTCAAATAAGGTTTTGTAATTAAAAGTTAGGTTCATTGTGTTAGCTTTGTTGATCATAACAGTGAACATAATGTCTCTTTAATGAGCTCACAATAGTTAACTAGACTATTCATAATCTTGGTGAATAACGTCTAGTCCTTCTTATTCCATAAATTCTGCTTCAGCACCATGATTCCCTTTCCCATTCACTTGAGGCTCTTTCTTATGTTAACTATGTTAACATTGTATTCTGCCTCAGGAGCAGTACAGATGCCTGCTGCTGTCCTTGCACATTTAATGTGGGACAAGTTAAGGAATGTGTTTGATGGATTCCTCTAATTTTGTTAAGGACAGCACCAGGCTTCTGCCTCATTCTTGAGGAATGAGGGTTTACCCATCAAGGCATTGCAAATTACGTTGGCATGCTTTTATGTTGACTCAAGAATTGGAAGAATGTACAATAATGTAGCCATGAGGAAGAGACTCTAGGACCAAAGTGTATTATGATTCTATCCACACTGGATCCAGTGAGTATTACAGTAAACCTTTTCTCAAGAAATTTGTTCTATTTTATTCTTAAAAGAAAGTTGAGAACGGAGACTATCAAAATTCATAGTATGCCAATAGACCCTTTATTAATCTTTGTGTTCATCCACACTTCTAAAGGGTGTTTCAGAAATTAATTTTCCAAACACTGCCATTAAAACCCATACTGTAAAATCCCATGGAAACTGGCATGCAAGGGTTTCAGGTTCTCAGTGCAGGCAGGCAGAAGGCAAAGAAAGGAGGAGGCAAGTGCTTTGACTGTTTCAGTGGTTTTGCCATGGGATGGGGGATGCCCCATATCATGGATACAAAATCTTTAGCATATGGTTTATTCATCTCTCATAGCATAACTAAGACAGTAAATCAGAATGGCATGTGACCTTCAAATGGTTTGAATAGATATTTATATCTCTGGTGCAAAGTTCTTTCCATTCTAAAAATATAGACCATTATAATGGCAGTTACTTCACGATACTTGCATAACCTTTCATACATACTTTTAACACAAGCCTTAAAACATAATAGGTCATACATTCTCTCACGCATTCCATTTTATGTATTATAATCGAGGGCATGCACTTCTCTAGGCAATGCAATTTACTACCTATACTGTTATGTCTTTCTGGAATAATGTAATTTTTTTAAGTGTTCTCTGCCCGAGTGTATTTCTAACATTTTAACAAAGGTTCGGACTCCTGCCTATGAAAGCAGTTGACAGATTCAATAGCAGTAGAGAGAAATGAAGTTTGCACCTGATGCTTATTTTCTTTAACCTCCTGGTGCTTTCCTGGGTTCAGGTTATTTATAGCACAGATATAAAGCAACTGCATTTCAACAGGAGCTATGCTACTGTATGACATTTCAATAATTCTAAGGAGAGGGATCTGTGGACTGAGAGGCACACTATATGGTATACATTAGAGACGACTTTGTACTGCTAGAATTTTCATTGTCACCAAAGTGGCCTTTAGAATCACAGCTTTCTTCTCTTTACATCTAAGCTATGTGTAGGTCACACATATAAAATGGAAATGCTGGGTCTGCAGGGTCACTGTTTCCCAAAGATTTTTGTGCCCTATTTTTGTTGAGAGGAAAACTCTAAGCTCAGAGATTTCTTATGGCACAATTCAGTGCAAACACAAGGGAAACCAGGGCTGCTTCCAGATGGATCTTTTAAAATACTTGTGCTAAGTACTTATGGTAGTTTCATGGATCATCCAGATGATGGTGTCTTCCTTAAGTCATGTTCTATTTCTTATGCATGTTTTTTTCATGTTAGGGCACTTCTAAATTGAAGACTCTCAAACCCTAAAAATCATTGTTTTTCTGCTGTAAGCTATGATCTGAACTGCAAGATCATTTAAAAGGGAGAAAGGCAGCAAGACCCTCAAAAAGTCCACAAACAACTTAAATCTCTGTCTTTACATTTACATCTTAAAAGACTCAACACAAGGGGGGGGAGTGTGATTCTGGAGGGAGGGTTCTTCTGCAGAGTGGAGGCTGGGGTTTGGTTTACTTGAGTCCTACCTTTATCCCTCATTGCCCCATACCCTTGCACAGTCCTTCTGGACTTACGATTTGTTTGGGTCTTTCTTTAGCTTGCTGCACAGGTCCTAGAGGAGAAAGGCATTGCCTTTGGATTACTGGATTCTAAGAAAGATGCAAAGCTTGCCAAAAAACTAGGTAAGTGTGATCTATTTTTCCTTCTTCAAGATGATGAGAGATTCCAGCACCATGTTTTGATGACCTAAACCAAACTACATTTTGCAGGACACTCAGCATTGTACTATATTTCATGCATTTTTGTTAATATCCAGGCTTAAAAATACAAGTGTCCGAATGAAGCCAGTGTGGCTGTGATACAAACCTTTCCTTTAAGCCACTGGTTGAATTCTAACTTACTTCAAACTTACCTATGCAATTAATTAGTTCTGATTATACTGCAGCAACAAATCTAATCTTGATTGCAAAACTCTAGATGACCACTACATGGCAGCAAAGAGATGCTTGGTTATCTAACTCTTTGGGGCCATCTACTGGCCATCTGAATATGCACTCCAGATCTAATAATGCTATGTATTCTACGAGTAAGTTTCTCTAGAACTCTCGAGCTAAAATATTTCACTGTGTCTTATGTAGGAAAAGTGACCTGCATTCCCCTTCACTCACACTGAAGGGCTGACACACATATTACTTGCATTTTTGTCTTTTCTCCAGGTTTGGATGAAGAAGGAAGCCTATATATCTTTAAGGAGGACCATATAATTGAGTTTGATGGGCAAATGGCAGCAGATGTCTTGGTTGAATTCCTTTTAGATGTAAGTTCATCCTGTTTTCCAGTAGAAATAATATATTATCGTTAGTGCTAGTTACAGGGATTTTTTTTAATTTGCCATATTTGCCAGGGAACAAAAATAATATAATATAGTGTAATGCAAATCATATATTTTAAGTCAAAGAAACAAACATTATTTCCATTCAAAACTCAAGGTATCTATTATGCTATAACAAACAATTATCAAAACTCTGCTTTTAAATGGGCCCGAACTAATTTTACCAATAAAATAAATTCATGAGGAAGATCAACTTCAGCTACTGTACTTGATTTTACTTGTTTAAAACAGAAATTTTAATATTTCAATATTTCAAGGATTGCCTACTGTACTGTACAGTCCATCTTTTGCAGATCCCCATATTGACAGTCAAACCCACTTTTTTAATGGCAAAGCTACTTTGTGGCACAAATTATAATTGGAACTGAGACTTGCCCCCTCTTTCAGAGTGGATCACAATACTGTTTATCTTTTCAACTCAGCCTTTTTAGAGTTTTAGATATGTTTTAACTGCCGATTGTGGATTTTTAAACATTTATATAAGCTACACAGCATCATTTGGGAATGGGGGGGGGCATATAAATTTGAAACAGAAAGAAAACGGATAAAAGGCCTGAACCCTTGTTTTCTTCTAAGCTTCTTAAAATAAAGAATGAATACCCCCAACAGGCAAAATGGGGCTGCAATTCGATGGATGCTTTTCTGTGGGTAAACAAATAGAACTTACTTTAGGATAAACATACATAGCTGGATTGGAAAGCATGACTGCCAGCTGATATACTAGCAAGCCCCCTGGAGTTTCCTGGGAAGGAATCTATTTCCAAGGCAACAAGCCTCAGGTGGGTTAATCCTTGCCTATTTTAATATAGCTATTAAGTGAGTTCCACATAAAATCTTTTTACGCTCCTCCTCCCACCCCCCCAAGTAAGGATACTTCATTTAGACTTGCATAAAATATTCTTTTATGTTGACCCATTTGGCTAGCTAATTAAAACATACATGAATATCTGAAGTTGCTGAAGTATTTTTCTCTCTAATTAGGTTTACATATTGTGCTAAACGTCAATGCAGTTTGTTTACTTTTGGCTTATTGTGTGTTTTGTATGTGGTCAGCTGGGCCTTATTTAACAAACCATGAACAGCATAATGAATGTAGAAATTCAGTTGCTATCTCCTTTTTATTGGGATTGGATCTTAACATATGCAGTACTTTATATTGAAATTATCTAATGAAGTATTAGTCCAATAGTAATCATAAATGTAAAATTTTTTGGAAAGGAACTGGTTCTTTTAATTATTCTGAATATTTCTGAAATGTTTAAAATGTATATATCCATATATTCTAATATTCTGTCTCAATAATGTTCAGTCAGATTTTTTATTAATTATTAGCATCCAGTACTTTGAGGAACTTCAAAATTTCATTTACCCATGTATATTTGTGGATAAGCTGAGAATTTTAGGTTCCAAAATATACCCACAAAAAGGGGTTCAGCTTATCCACGGATGGGCTTATCCATGAGTATATATGGTAATACTTTTTTAAAGTACCTGTATATACTCGCAGATAAGCCCATCTGCAGATAAGCCGACCCTCAAATTTTTAACCAAAATACCATGAAAACTCTGCCACCCGCAGATAAGGCAATTGTTAAAATTTAAACATACAAAAACGTTGAGGCTTGGATTATCCGCAGGTGGACTTATCCGTGAGTATATATGGTAAATATACAAGCCATTTGAGCCACTGACCCTCACTATGTTGTGACAGTGAGTTCTTTTAAATTTCTTTTCATTTCATTCTTTGGTGACAAACAGTGACATGACATAGGCACTGAGAATAAAACTTTTCATGATTCTCCTTGGATTCAATATGAAGTTTTCCATAACAAGAAAGCTCTGAGGAACAGAGAGTTGTAGGCAGTAATTGCATGGAAACTCACAATTCATCATAACAGCGGCAGCACTGAATGGAGATCAAAATATGGACTCCTGTATAAGGACTATAGACCTAGGGAAGCATAGGCGGGAATATGTTGTTTTTTCCTGAACTTCAACAAATGGCAAACAGTAGTAGTCCAGCTGATTTGGATACTTTGACTTAAGAATTTCATATATTAAATACATCATGTGCAGTTGCCCTTCTGGCTTTGTGTGTATGAGAGACAGAGAGGCTCATGAAGTGTACTATATATTAGAGGGCAGGCTTAATTTTTTCCTACCCTTAGCAATTTGCTTTACATAATGGCTTAAAAAGGATGAAAATCTAATCAGTGTAGTAAGATCATTTCTATAGGAGGAGGAGGAGTGGCAATGGCTGTTTTTCAAGACCATGGACAGGTTTAAACCTTCCTCACCAAGCTTGGTGGCCACACCAACTAAACTGCTGAGTACTGTCATAAAGACAAAAATAAAACAGCATCTCTACACTATGTATGCAGTATCATATAGCATGTAGTTTAAGAGTTTCCTATCAGAAAAAAAGGCACTGCATTTGTGTTATGTATAAGTTGTTCTTTGTCAAAACTCCTTCTTCCTGACAGCTGATGGAAGATCCTGTGGAAATCATTAACAACAAACTGGAGCTTCAGGCCTTTGACCACATGGAAGAGGAGATCAAACTTATTGGCTACTTCAAAGGAGAAGATTCAGAACGTGCGTTCTAAGTCATGATGAAATCTGAAAGGAGCTGGAAAGCAATATAATTTTTTTCCTTTGGCTGAAGTGAATTGATACATTTGTTAAAACTTTTGTATATTCTTTACAACATGCACTATGTGTACCCCTGTGTAGTACAGAAGTTCAAAGTAGGTATATACTTGCTGTCCTTGCTCAGTCATCACCTGAGGTTTGAACAGCTCCTTGCATTACAAGACAATGTGCTCTGTTACACCTACTCCAGGTGTAAAGGCCTCAGAGACTGTACTTCTATATACACTGAATTAGAAACAAGCTGAGGCATTTTCTGTGTGGTGGTCTTAAAAAAAAACCATACTGAAGTGTGATCCTCCCAGCTGGATTGGAAATGCAGTGCAAGTAAAAAATTGCAACCCAAAGCAGTATGGCCCAGGGACCAGAGGGAAGTCCCTCTGATGAAAGTGGGAGCCCACACTAAATGAAGGAGGCTGGCCGATCCTGACTGTGCCTTCAGTAGAATGATTGGTCAAGTACATCAGATTGTATCCACAGCAAATATGTGCTAGGATAAGATGGAAATCACTATTTTAATGCTGGTACATCTAAGGATGACTTAAGTTTGCCTCTGGTATGTTATGAGAACACAGGGAAAAAAAACCCCACAGGCCATGCTTGTGCTGCTGTTAGATGCATCTTCCATCAGTTATTCCTTAATTCAGGCTGGTTCGTTTAGCTCACAATCACAATCTTTTTCAAGAATCTCTACACTTTTAAAACAACAATTTAATGTATAATTCTTCAAGTTTCATTTTCTGGAAAAGCTAAATTTGTTTTCCAGCAATTTTTAAAATGAGAGCCAGGATCTCTTCTTCAACAACTTGTTGGATCAGGGGTATCTATAAGGGAGGATTAAAACAAAGTCAAGGATAGCACACATAAAAAGGGGGCAAGGGTTTGATTCTGCAGTTGTGGCTGCCATCTTGACCTTGCCCCTGTGTTGGACTCATTCAGTCCTGTAGCCAGGAGGTGAGGTAAAGGGGACTTGATCTCGCCTAAATTTTCTCTCCACTCCATATTTTAAGTTATGTTTAAAAGACTAGATATGCTCGCTCCAGGTTGATTGATGAAAATGCTTATGCCACTCAATTCTTATAAGCTCTGAGTGGCTTAGAATCGTTAAAAAACAGATTAAAAACAATACACAGAAATACCCTAGGTTATTGTTCTTGGCCAAAAGGAAACTATATTATGATAGCAGAACTAGACAAGATTGTATTCCGCAATAGACATAAGGCAACAGTATGGCCTTAACTTTCAGACTGATTTCTGTGTTCCTCCAAGCATTGATAGATTACAACCTCAGCACCCCCAACCAACATGGCCAATGTTCAGGAATGCTGAGAGCTTTAGTTCAGCAACATCTTTTTTTTTTTTGTCTGCGCTCAGTCATTACTGACCCTGCAGTGACTGCTTTGGACGAGT